GAGAGGGTGCTGTAGAGGTTGTAAATGAGTTATGAATCGGATGCTAAAGAGAGTCTCGATTGCTAAATCTAATGATAGTTTTCCGGTGAGCTCCCACATAAAGCTCACCGGGAACGCACCAGTAATTAATGAACTTCGAAAAGAGCACCAACTCTCTCCAGTAAACTTTATTATTAACAGTCGAAAAATTCAACCCCAATTATCCATGTATCGAAAAACACAATTTCACTACAATCTCACAATCTTAAGGCAACGAAATCATGGATCATTAACAGAATTAGATAGTTCGCATGATACTAAATGGATACTATGTACCTATATTGTAACTATTCATGAAGCTATTAAGAGAGCCTACGATTCGGGATACTGGAATTTGTTTTGAATTTCCCGATCCTTCGTTTCCTCATTCCATCCATCCGCTCCATTCCATTCCATTTCATTCCATTCCTAGCCGTTGAGGTTCCCCAAAAATCAATCGCCAAACTCCATGCTATACCTGATATTACCATTTAGCAACCCCAACAGACAACAACGATAAAGCTACTACCCAGTGCTAACTTTTCTCTGCTTAGTGGGATTTAAATGAATGCCCATCTTTTCTACTCTTCTCGCATCTCACCTCACTCCAGAATTTAGTTCCGAAGATCACTGTCTCTCATCGATCACTTCCACCTCTACCTCTACCTCAACTCTAAGACCCCCTCATCCAACACTCCAAACAGCACCTCCACTTCCCTCTGCACCTTTCCGATTTCTTCTGCCAATTGTCCCGTTACCAGAATGAAAGCATATAAGATTTCATAATCCTCATCTTTCACTATGACACCCTGACTTGACCTTCTCTGCACTCCGGTCCCTTGCAACTCTAATCCGCTAGAATTTGACAATCCATCATCCTCATCATTTACTTGCGCGGATTCGTCCTCGTTCCTGCGACGGTTACTCATCGACATGTTTTTTCTATATTGAAAAATCTTTGCTAGAAGGCGATCACGGGAATGAGCCGTGCTGGGAAGACCGTCTGTTAAGAGAGGGTACTCAAGTTTCATCGAGGAGGCCATGACTGTTCATTATTAGTGTCTTGTCAATTTGTGACTTTGAAGCGGCGAAAAGTACAAACCTTGAAACAAATGGCTAATTCTCGCACAAAGCTGCGCTCTTTCGTCTTCCGTGAATTTCAATAATAAAGCTTCACCCTCACTAGCTTCAGCATTCTTTTGGATAACCACATTCATAGCATGAAAAGCATCCAGCATTTTAGTCGTAGCTTCGATTATTCGTCCATAGGTAGCAGATGGGAATGGGCCTCGAAGTTCAAATTCGCTTGTGGCCGAGCTTCGAAGTTTGTCAAGTACAAATATATACCTTTGAAATTCGAATTCTTCCCTTAAATTCATGTACGCATATTGAGACTCGCCTTCTACAATCGTTGATAGTGGATCCCTTTTCCAGACAAGACCCATTCGTAACCACAAAAGTGACAAACCTTCTTTGAACTTTTGTCTTGCTGAAATCGGCCATACGACTCTTGTGATGATCAACCCCCAGATACAACCTGCAAGAACTGCAACAACTCTATGAAATGCAATTTCGGTGATGATTGGTCTGACACCACCTTCGTCGTCATCGTGATCGGAGTCTTTAACTGACAAAGAATACGCGTACAAACAAGAAAGATTGTAGGTAAGCATGATAAAGCGACCGAAAGGGCCATTACCTTTTGCAATAATAATATAGAAGCATGGCAAACTGACAAGCCATCCGCAGAAAGCTAATGCGTAAGGATTACCGGCACAAATGACCCAAACCACACATGCGATCACGGCGCCGATGAAAGTACCAATAAAACGAGCCCAACCAGTGGTATTAGATGCTCCAATTGTCATACTACACACTAACATGTAAGACAAAAGTCCCCATTCTCCTCGGTAGTGCTGATATGTTGGTCTTGTGCCGGGAATGAAAGCAAATAGAGCATAAAGAGCAGCTCCGAGGCCAACCTTTACGGCAAACCGAACTAGAAATCTGTCAGAGGGGGTGTAGCAGGCTTACTTTAGACGTCACTCACTATCATCACGATCTAGAAATCGTACTATGCACATTGCCTTCCGACGTAGAACACCTCCCTTAGTCTCTGAGTTGACTTTAGAAGTGATTTCAATTTTTCTATATCCAAGCCTGTTACGTAAAGGATCAGGAATATCTTTGGGCAATTCATTGCCTACATCCCTCGCAATAAGTTGTTCCTGCTCTTCATCGTCGATAGCATCTGCTTTGAATTGACGATTAGACTTTCGCCAAAACATGAGCCATTTCCACGAACGATGTTTTGAACACTCCACTTCTTCTTTCAATTCTTCTAGGATTGCCAAATAGTTTTGCATCTCGCTTGCAAAATCTTGTAGATTGAAACTAAAATGGCCGCAACTTGCAGCCACTTCTTCGAAATCAGCTTCAATACTTTCGGGGCGGGTTCTATCAAGTTCTTTAGATTTATAAAGTTCCTTCAGTGCTTGAGCTCTTGCGTTGCTGTAGAGTTTTCTACAAATACGTTGTTAGTTTCTAGGCTTATAGAGGTAAGTTAGAGATATCCTTACAATGCTTCTGTCAGACTTGATCGGAAATGTTCATTTATAGTAATGTGGTATTCGGGCCCTTGGGCAAATGGTAGCTCTTCTAGGATTTGCGAAAGTGTATATGCGAGAGACTTCATTGACGGGCCAAGATGAAGAATAAATCGTCCAAAAATTTCCGATGGAGATCGAACCGTAGGCATAACTATACTCGATAAAGTGGTTTCGGTACCTTGGCGAGTAAGAAACTTGGGTCTCTCTGAAATGGCATCGAGATCACTGCCCTCTTCCGACGCTTCCTCAATGGCTCCAAGGACTGCAAAACGATCTGATTTGCTGCTAATGGGTCGACTGAGGGGATTTGTTTGGGAAGGCGGGAAGCTATGTGAGCCGGTTGGTGTTGCGCTACTTAATGGAGGTTCTTGAAGCAACGAAAATTGTGTCAATGCAGCACTCCGTAATCCTCCAATGGACTGGGCAAGTGTTTGCATGCAACTAACAAGCCTCGCTTCAATCGCGTATTCGCTTTCAGTGCCTAGGATGTAATGTTCCAGTTTCGCCTCCTTTAGATTCTTTGTGAGCTGAGTGAACACAGATTTGTATTGCTTTTGAGCTCGATCAAAGGAAGTCGAGCGCAAATCATTTTCCGAACCACTAAGGAACCCTCGAGTAATCATAGTAAGCATGTCCCCAAATGAGTCCGTGGTCTTGATCATGCTTTCTCGGAGCTCTGCTCGAGCGGATATTGGCCATGCCTTTTAGAAATCAGTAATTGGCCTTAACCGTTGTAAAGAAGAGAGTGACTGACCAATAAACTGACGATTGACGTTGAAACCATCCCCATAATAACCATTTTCATGACCTGTACGATTTTGTCATTCGAAAAAACACCCACTTGCACCGCATTCTCTTTTGTGATGACCGTAATGATGGCCAGACTTGCCAGACTACAAGCAACACTAACTAATGGGGCATTGTAGGCCTGCTTGAACCAGCCGATAAATCCTAGACCACCCCCACAAAACACTATGAGAATAAGGGTATAACCAAGTTCTATGAGGCCCAATTGAGTTTCGCAGTACACCGAGACCGCCATGCTCGACACTGATATGAAGACCGCGTATAGGAATGCCGATATACCCAGTATTGCGGCTTCAATCATGGAACCCGATGATCTCGCTGGGTGAAAGTATACCGTGATCGTGGCAACCATGTGTTTCCCATCTTGTTGCCCTAGAAAGTTGGCCAAGTGCGGTGAGAAAGTCGCCAGACTCCCAAGTGTGTATGCTAACGAGCATTTCAGAATTCCCTTTCCAGTAGGTGTTTTTATCCATTGTGCAAATTCCTTGGAGGATTTAACACAGTTTTTCCAGCCCCTTTGGAATCTGTTTGTGTCTTCTCCCGTCAAATATAGACCCAGACCCAAACCTTCTTCATGTGGATGTGATCGCGCCGGTCCGTCAAATCCGGAAGGACTTCGTAGTGTAATTTGTCTGCGAACTCGTTCTCCTGTACTAGGTAATACAAATGTTCCATTCCGTAGTTTCTATTGTGGTGTGGCACAAGATTAGTTCTCAAACTCCTCTCTTGCTCGAAATCCTATGGCAACATACCCCTCGCTTTGCTCCATTCTTCCCAAACCTTCTATCTCGTTGAGCGTCTCGATTTACGGGCGACGCGCTGGAACCTTCTGAAGCCGATGGCGAGGAACTCATGATAGCTATTCCCGTTCTTTCATAGCTTGTTTTTGTGATTACAAAAACAATCGGATTTCCTTGAAGTTGGAGTTGGGTGATCTGAGATTATCGGTGGCGCAGGTTGCAGCACTAAAATATAGCTACCCCGGATTCTTTGTTAGGCGCTAAGTGGACCACCCGTCGACAACCAATGTAGAAGATAGAAATGAGTTGTTATGAGTATCTAATAAGAAGGGCAATGACAAGGGTAAGAAAAGGGAAAGGTAAAAGGAAGGGAAGATTTCTATCATTTGTCATCGACAAGATAATGAATGTTCCCAACTTAACATGGATACAAATCCGATGGCTTTCTATCACCGCGACAGATTTCCACACTATCCCAAATGGTATATCGCGACATATATCTGACTCCGATCATCAAGTCGCGTGTTGATCAGCCGGGCTTGGTGTAATGCGATTTCAAGATTCGGATATCAATACCACTCAATGCTACTATACGGTTATACCGCTCAGCCTACGCTGCACAACTAAGTCCACGTGGTTGGTTTGGTTGAGCTTCAGATCGTCAAAAGTCTCACCTGATTTCTTCTCATATGCATGCCATGACCCTTACAACTTCAGCTCGTCAATATCAACATGTATGTATGGTGGACCATTCAATGATCGATGGTGTATTACAGATTTCCGACTACTATGTATCGGACTATGTTACATTTGAGGAACTTCTTCAATGGCAGTCAATATCTGTGCTCAGTCTATCTCTTCAGGAACTAGAGCCAAAGATTGCATTGTTTCTGGTACGATGGATTCCAAATTTCTCAATCGGCCTCTGTTAGCGTTTATCAATATGAGTCTTCGGACAAGTCGAATTCCAGCATTGCTTGCCGTAGCATCTCTAGAAGTCCAAAAGGTGCATCGATGTCAACGATACATATTGTCTTCGAATTATCTCAACTTCCAGTGGACTCGAATTCCTGGTGCAGTACGTCTAGTAATCTCAAGTTGATTGCTTTCTTTTTCGTGTAGTCCTCTGATGCAGATCTAGAGGCAGAGTTGCTGTTCTTGCCGGTATACTTTTCTTCTTACTTCACATGATCATGGGTCTCTTAGTTCTTTTTTCCTGGTTAGATTTTTAGAAATTTCGCTCCAATTCCAATTCCAATTCCAATGATACATTTTGAGGTTTAAAATGTTGGCTCAATAGATTTTTTGTTGCTGCCTCTTGTCGGATTGTCTCAAGTGTATTACCCATTAGACTATGATAGAAATTTATCTCCTGTCGGCCGTAGGTTTCCCCAGAAATCTAGTATTTCTTGGTTTAGTAAATGTTGAGGTTATTCCTTCTTCGTATGGCGGCATGGCAAACAATGTATTACTAGCATTTGAGAATCGAAGAAAATTCTGTTGTCCATGAAGCCACCCAGTCCATCGCGATGATCAACATGTATGTTGGGTAAAAAAAGGGTTCTGAAGCTGATAGACAGGTTTCGTGTGTATATCTTCCCCACTTCCACCAAGAGAAGACTCTCGCATCTACATTCTATAATCCCACACAACCTCATTGCACCAATTCCCAAATCACGAATCCCATTTAGCTTACAGGAAGATTCTCTGGAAAACCTTATCCGGCCACTTAAGTCAAGCGTTTAGGGCTCCAATCATCACAATCTCTAAGTATGAGAGATCGATCAAATGCTAGTTATCATCCTGCTGCTTTCCAAGCTCCGAATCTGCAAGATAAAAAACCCTTTTCCTTTCCGTTAAACTACACGGGTGAGCCCGCACCTAATATTGAAGGGGCAAGAGAAAATGGTAGACCTGGGGATGCAAGTGATCGTAAAGATGATGCAAACAAGAAAAAAGTTTCTAAAACGAGTGATGCAGATACTCGTGGCAGCTCTCGCGATGAAGATGGAACTAATCGTATAGATGATGCATACAATAAGGAAGCTCCAAAAACAAGTGGCACGCATACTCATAGAAGCTCTCGAAATGACGACGTCGGTGCCCCGAACAAGCCAGCGAAAAAGGCTAAGAAGAAGACCGAAGAGGAGGGGGGCAATTCAGTGGATAAGAAAAATGGCTCTCGATTTGGAGGTGCTCTTTCTGATTTGAGGTCAAAGGTGAAAAGACGGTGAGAAAGCTGGGCTGGGCATAATGTTAACTTTGTAGCGTCTGTTCAGTTGCTTTGGGCATAGTTGCCGTATTACTACACGCGGGCTGATTGAGAAAGATCTGTGATTATGATAGTGATCACAAAATAATGAACTGTTCTAGTTGCAAATCATTGTGCCTTTGACTGCTTTATCATACGTTCTCGATGCAGCCCAATGAACACCCCCCGATGTCTTGACTCCTCCTTGTCATCCAGCCGTTTCCCATGATTTTAAGGTCAACCTCGCTGTATTTTGATAGTGTTGGATTGATTATCACTTCAGATTGTTCTCGAAACAAACGTTAGCGTGGTTTTATAAATTACTGAGAAACTAGCGTGACACTAGTACACTTCCGAGAATGAGGTATGTCAATATAACTCTTCAACAAATTTTACTCTCTATTATATTCAAGATTCGAAGATCGATTATCTGTGAAAAGTCTAGATTCCAAAGACTCCTATAGAAGTCGATGGACACAGGAAGTAGTGTGCACAACGGAGGAAACGACGTGGAAGTTGAGAAGAATGGAGATTCTTGGTACTCTGTGAGGACTTTGGCTCGAATTTGGCGGGTTTTCCGGCTCGCGCGAAGTAATAGCAGATATCTATGTACTTGATTAGACATTCGAAATACAGTGACTTTTTATTTCCATCAAGAACATCTGCTATTTTCAAGTAATTTGAGGGGGGGGGGGGGGGGAGTATTATCAAGGAGAGGAAAGGAAAAGTCTTCTAATGACAACATTTTAGAAGATCCTCATAGAGAATCGCTTAAACTCGGCCTACGCGAAGGAACCAGGAAGATTGACAGGAGCATGTTGATAACACAAATTATGTGCATAAATCGTACATATCATGTCAAAATATTTACCAAAGCACAACCACACGCAGATACAGAGCAAAACGAAACCTGAAACTGTTTTTACCAAAGACGGAAGCGAATATGTTTCGTTTTGAATATGTTCTGCCTAGAGACCATGTTGATTGCTAGTAAGCTTACCTGAGCTCAACATCTAGTCATATTTGGTGGATCTGTCTGTCTGTTGAGAAACAGTAGAAGAGAGTTCGTTATTTTGTATGTTGGAATATGAATATCAGCCATGACAATGACAAAATCTGGAATCAAATTTCGACAATCGATAAAACGGTCAATTGCTAAGCAAGTCTTGCGTCAATATGGATACATACAGGTTTCTTCGGCTAGCAATGTAACCTTGCATGACAAAGGACCGCGGCCCCCATTAGCCAGCATACATACATGTAACAGTAAAAACTACATCTCTGGTATCTTCGCCACAAGTTGGTATGTGTTGAATGGCATATATCGGTGTGATTATATTGAAATTTGACGTATAGTGACCAGGTCTAGCTTTGTTGGTGTTGCAACCATTCATCTATAAATCAGCAATGCCAGCGGCTCAATCTTTACTTCGGTGTGGTAAATACATCCGAAGATAGATTCACCTGACAATAGGAGAATGGCTGAAGAACAAGAAAGTTATAGGCATGATCGGCGACCCAAACCAAAATCAGCTACACAGGAAAACTTAGACAGACATGGATACCGTCGCCGGAACGAAGAAAGGCAAAGGGATAAGGAGACTAGAGATGGGGGTATGAGTAGAGATCAGGACCATAATAGAGATCCTGGGCGCGGAGGACAAGCTCCCCCAGGTACGAATACAGATGGAGGTGCTCAACGTCAATATCCTGTGCCATACACACGTTCGCCTGTTTACATTTGCAAGTCGGTGACAAAACCAGAAGGTGACGGAAGAGGAGATGAGAGAATAAATAGAGCCAAGGATCGGAATCATACTAGAAATTCTGAGCCCATAGCAAGGCATAGACTTAGGGCTGAAGGCGATCAATACGAACGATATGTGACACGCGGGGATCCGCTTATCTCCAGTCATAACCCGGATCCGAGAGCTGGTAGGGACAATGAAAGCCAACATCTTCCTCCGCTCAGCCGTAATGCACCCCGGAGAACTGTCCACAACGACCTAGGGTATGAGTATGACGATCAAAGACCTGGAAAGTACCGTCATTGATACTCAAACACGATAAGGTAAAAGTTTTAGTTGATCTTACTTTTTACTACTACGATCAATGCTTTTGACTTGGAAAAGAATCAACATGTAAGAAATTTTTGAAAATATGGTTGGTTGAAATCATTTATTTTGTTGTATTGGAGTGTCGACGACTGTAGTTATTGTCATCGTGGCTTAATGTTGTTATTCTGATATTGGGTTGCAATTAATAATTGTGATATGTAGGTAATTATCTTATTTTAATCATCGCTAAATGTACTAAAATTATTCTTCTCAATTCCATTCGTCTCGTCTCATTGTGCACAAACGCTACGTTTGATTGAGTGTGTTCTCCATTGAGAGAGTGTGTCGGTATATCAAGATTATAATCGACTTCTTCACTCCAAAGTGAAAGATTTTGCTGATGTATACTTTATGGAATTGATAATTTTTTCCCTTTGGCGATTTTCGAGAGAAAGGCTCAAAGGCACAAGAGAAAAACCAGGGTATCAATGAATAGGTCTATTGCTAAATCTAGCTATTCAAAAGTAGCAATCCGACGAAGCTAAAGCCTTTTTGATACCAGATGCCGGAAGTATTCCTCGAAGCACCTCACGAAGATCTCGAGGACCGTTGTTGCAACAGTGATTCACAATTGTACCATCATTTATCTGTACATCTACTCCCCCATCTGCCGTATTTACCCTCCAATTGCTTTGAATTTCGCGCGCGATCTCTTCTATAGCAACGTCGTTGCCCACCTTCCCAACATCAAAGTGCCTGAATTGGAAGCTGACGTCTTGGTCGTTTGTAAAACATAGTATTGATGACTTCACAAAGCCATCGAAGCATTCAAATACATCGCCCAGACCACTTTCAGAACCAGTATTTAGGTTGTACAGGTGCGGCCTACAGGCACGCCAAAATCTAAAGATGACAGTAACAATACCTCGGTGACTGGGATGCACAGCTTCAATATTATTGCCAAATCTACCATAGTGACTACCAAGGCTATTGAAGATATATTGTAGCAGAATTTTCATGTGAACCATGACTTGCCCGACTTGCTGCCCGCTTAGAACGAGGCTTTCAAAAGCTTTCGACACTGCTACCATATAGACTTCGCATGCGAGCCAGCCAGCTTCATTTTCGAAAGCGACTTCTAGTGTGGAAGGTACGATGTCAGCCAGTAAAAATTCTAACATGTCCCTATGCCGTGCACCCTTCGAAATCTGGCCGATATAACTATAAAGTGCATCGGTAGCCGATAGTGAGCTTCTGAATCCATTCCAAAGATAATATATCAATCCGTTCCGTGTTTTTTCCCGTTCTGAAGACAGTTGAAGTGTATATGATGTCAAACCCGCCAAGTAAAGAGTAGGATCCGTCTCTGGAGGCCAGTATGCAGGAGAATTGCGGAAGAAGAATTCTAAGGGGGGACAAATATTGCTGCAATGAGAACGGATTTGCGAGACAATTTCTTGTACAAAGTTCACATACTCTTGGTGAGCAATGACGTTGGTAGTTTGGAGCTTTTGCAAGTGCTGCTGCATTGAGACCATGATAGAATTCAACAAGGTCGAGAACTTAGTCTTGACAGTCTCTCTGGTCACATTGCCAAATGTAGAGGCAAGTAATGCTTGATCCGAGAAAATCTTCTGAATTCTGATAATAGCGCCTAGACTGATCAACACAAGTTCAGATCATATATATGACAGCTTACCTTTGATAAAATGTTGATTACTCTTTGCAGAGGGTTCTTCCTCCATGAGAGAATTGGAAGATGCATCGTTTATAATCTCGCCCGCAAGAAGAAAATGTCTTTGCTTCAATAGTTGACAAGTCAAAGCATTCTCCCAACGAAGTTCATGCTGTGGCTTGGAAATAGCGATCATCCATTCTGATCCAACGTCGAAGCCAGAAACCTAAAAATCTGTTAGTAAAATTCAAGGTATTCAAAGACACCTGGAAGCGCTACATTGAAATGTAATGATTTCGTGTGCTCAAGTAGCTCACTGAGATACAGCGGCCAAGCTACAAGCGTACGATGCGATTTCTCCCGATTTTCAAAGACTGCGTTTATACCAACGGTTAGGAAGGCCTTCGGAGACTAGTATTGCCGTTAGCAGAATATTAGAGCAGCGGTCTTTGAGAGATCATACATAGATGCCGAACTTTATGAAAGCGGAGATGAAGTGAGCCCAGCACTTGATCAAGCGCCCTATGAAGAAGTAATTTGTCGTATGTTCTAGAGGAACCGGGCCATCATGCAATATCCTTTGAACTAAATCTCGGAAGGTCGAAGTGATTGCACGATCAAGCGGCTGACAAAGTTAGCTTTGCGAGGCAATAGATACGAAAGGGAGTAGAACATACGTGAAGATAATCGTCCATGAACTGCATTTCTTTCGCCCAGTCGGGATCACACTCCAAACCCTGGCTGTCAAATTCTTCATCACCATCTGGAGTTGCTTCAGGTTTGCTCTCTGGCTCTACGTCATTGAGTTGATGCAGATGGCAGCTGAGGATTTCGATAGCAGATGAGGTCAATTCTTGGTCAATTTTATCCTTGGAGGAGCCTATAGATAACATTTTCGCAAGTATGTCTAAAAATAAATCAGCACATAACTTTGTCAACCACAAGTCCACAGCAAAGGCCCTTACCTAGGTTTATAGCATGTTTCAAGGTTATTGAATTTGTGCATTTCAATGATTCTATGCTCGATCTCGCCACAGCTTGTATACAGGACATGGTGCTTCCTCGATTAGAATCAACATCTGTCTGGAAAGTTCCGTCAGATTGAATATTTAGTTGCTGCCGAACTTGGGTTAGTTCCACATATTCTTCGAGCAGACTATTGAAGAAAGAGTCCTGCCAAGTGACAAATGGTCCATATGATTCAGCAGAGAAACTGGTAGGAATGTTAGACAAGGTGAATCGAGCAAGCCGTTCCCAAGCCCTTAAATTTATTAAAAAGGCTTCGTTATGTGAGTGAGCAGCCGAAACAAGCTTCTGCAGCAAGGTGATGGACGGCCCGTAACCTGGTGGAGCAGCCCAGTATACTGTGCACAGAAGGTCATGATGGTTGCGCAACGAGGCAAGATCACGATGAAGAATCGCCTCTTCTTTTGGAAATTGTCGATCATGGTTTGGCAAGATCCGCGCAACCAAATTCCTAATACCTTTAGTATCGCCTACTGCACGCTGATGCCTGATTGCAATGGCCACCATTTTGAGAAAAATATGAAAGCAACGGTCTTCTGGTTCAACATCTAGTGGTGATTCTATAGTCAAATCTTCTAGAAATTGAGGTGACTTATAAACCTCTTCATTTCGCAAATTTGCGAGCTTCTGTAAGGCAAAGCAATCAAACAGAGTGCCAATCATCCCGCTACACTTCCACCAACCCCATTTTGACATCAAATAATGACATCGACTCACAATTGCTCTGCAGTAATCGTTGAAGCTTGGTGATTGTCTAACATTCGACGCATAAAGTGCAAATACCCTTTTGATCAATTGCTGCGGAAGTGACCAATTATCGAATACACTTTCCTGCCGTGAAACCGACGAAACGTAACCATATTCATCAAATCCGAAAAGTGGAAGAAGAGAGAACATGGAGAGCCATATGATTTCCATCGAATTGGCATCCTGCAACGAACTTATATGTTTGATGCCCAATTGTATGTTTGCAACATCCCAAAACGAAACTCGTGGAATCTTTGCAGCCTTTAAAACATGAATGACGATGACCCAAGATTCAGGGACGTAACGATCGTTCCTTATGCCACCCTCTCTTACAGATAGATATTGCAGGTCGTCATACAACTTTCTCACAGATTCTAGACCTTCCGATATTAAGAGATCAATGCAAGAACTTGCCAACATCTGCAATAATTCTTCAAGGCGGATAGTCGATCCATGTGCACCATGTCGTGAAAGGCGTAGTAATCGAAGTGAGAGCACTAAAATTCTAGTGGTGATCTGAATTGCTTGCCGATGGTTCACATTAGACGCATGGGATGTGTTGAGGCGAGATGAAAAGTCTTCTAGTATATCTAACATTCGTAGCAAGAATTCAGACATCGACTCAGAACTTGAGAAATTCACACCATGGTGTACATAATCCAAAATAAGATTGGTAGTCGCGATCAAGTCAGGCTTATCCAGCACCTCAAATGTACCAGCAAGTTGTTCTGCTAGCCAGTCAATGCAAACGCCTATTTGCTCGGAGACAATGGGATTCCAGGTTCCCCATGTGAAAACATTGTCTCCCACCCCGATCGACGTCGCAGGCCTATCATCATCAGACAAGACGAGGTCTGTACTGTTCAGAGTATTTGCAAGGCATCCACTCCCAATGAAGGTAGTCTCATGGAAATATATTCCCACCTGCAGTGGAAAAACATCAAAATGTTGAGGATACCTTGTGCCAAATTTTCCTAGACCAAATAGTTTCCCTTGGTCAGTGCCTACTTCACTCATTGCAGGCACCAAAAAGGACGATATGAGTGGCTCACTCGGTTGACGATAGATAGCTGCACCTGCATCTAAACGTTGAGGTGACCGCTTCCGACGTCGAGGCTGCTTCACGACCTTCTTTGTGAGACGGGTTGACATTACATCATCGTCCCCATTGGGAACATTGGCTTCTATTGAAGTATGTATGGCATCGTCATCGGCCAAGAAACGGCTGAGTTGAAAATTTCCTCGCTGTAAAGGCTGCTGGCGACTCAAACGAAAAAGGGCATCGAGAGTCTTCTTCCTCGGCTCCAGGGTTTTGGTAGGGAACTGCTTTGCTTCAAGTTGCGCTGATCGTGCGGATGGTGCTGCAAAATAAGGATTTGGGCGTGCTCTCTGTTTGGTCTTGATAATGACCGTTGAAGCATTTTTCGATGGAGACATTTCTGGTTCCAGATCTCTATTCGCCACAAACTCGTTCATCGAGAGCAGCGTTGCTCTGGGTACGCGAATCTTCCTTGTATTGGTGTATTCGGTACTCGGCTGAGACTTTCGT